CTGCAATACATAAAGGTCACATTCATTGTGGGGGACTTGCACATGCACAAAATACATCTAATTCCCTTTTTCTTCTTTTGTCCCTCTCCCCTCTGCCCTGTCCCCTTTCCACCCCTTCCCTGTCCATGTATAGCAGCTCTACTGGAACTTCCCTGAGGAACCTGGTCCAGGGCCTCCCCATACTGACCCCTCCTGCTCCTGGTGGGGTTGGTGCAGCTGCAGGCTGAGTGTGCTGCGCAGTGCTCACACATGTGTGTCCCAGAGGGCAGGTGTGGGCAGCATGGTCACCAGGGTGGACAGAGGTGGTGGAGCCCTGGACATGGAGCCAGAGGAGACCTTCAGTTCCTAGGGCCCAGGCTGTCCTAAGCGGACCCTGGGAGCCAGGCCTGCCACCCAATTCTCCCATCATCACCTGCAGGTCTCCTCGCCTGCATCCACTGGGGTGTACAGACCTCCAGGCTGCAGAGAGCCAGGCTGAACTGCTGTAGACCCAACCTCCCAGAGAAAAGGTCTGAGCAGCCCCATCCTGTGTAAAGCACCTGGCCATTGCATGGTTAGAGGAGTGGGAGTTGGATGGGTGGACCAGGGGCCTCTGATGCCCTGGGTGAGGAGGTGCTGGGAGCCAGCCATTCTCTGTTCTGGGTCTGGTCCTGGGAGAAGAAGGACCCTTAGGAGCAATGAACATGGGTGGGTGCTGGGCTGGTCAGGCCTGAGGGTTCAGATGGAACAGACAAAGGCCCAGAGCATGGGACAGTGTGGGTTCTGAGAGAAGGTTTTGAAGTAAAGGTACTTAGATCTTCAAAACATAATATTTAACTGAATTCCAAGAAAAAGAGGAGGATTTGAGAGGAAATACATAATGCATACTTAATATTTTAACAGAGTATCAATATCCTTTCTCCAAAGACCTAAAGAGTTAAAAATCATACATAGAAGACAAAGTCCATTTTATAAAATACAAGGAGTAAAATACAAAACCTACAGTGAGATTATGAAATTCAGATTCATCAATCAAGAACAGTTTTCCTGTTGTGCTGCTCAATTTGAACTTGGGTCCTTGTGGTGCTGGGCAGTGCTGCACATCTGAGCCTAGAGCTCTTTATCAGTCAAATATGAACATAGTCACAGTGTCATCACTGTCAGGATAAAATGTTCCCAAACAGAAGTGCTGAGAAGCCAAGCTGTTGTTGCTTTCTCTACAGCAGCAGAAAGGCAAGGAGAGCTGTGCATGTGAGGGAGAGATGTGAGATACATTCATCTCTGTGTCATTTTATGTTCCTTCTTGAACTTGTCCATTTTGTGCTGAAACATTGTGGGCTTGTACACACAAAGGAACAGCACTGTGACAGCAAGAGTCACAGGTATGTGGGTGCACCAACAACAAAGAGCCACACAATGACTTTAAAAGCATGAAAGTAATTTTATTGTAAAATTCAGTGATATGAACACAGTTTAATAACATTACCACAGAACAAGGAGGCAGGGGATAACACCAAAGAAGAAGGGGAACCCTCTGAGGAGGACCTCATGCAAGATGGAGACTTAAGCTTGGGTAGAAGAGAGAAAGTGCTCCTCCACACCTAGTTTCTCAGTTCCTTAAGTATGGAGTTCAGACAACAGTGATTTGGTGCCAAAGCCCTGTATGGTTGGAGGGGGCCATTCTTGGCATGGCTGGGGTTTGGGAGCCATGAGCCCCTTGTGTGTGAATGATTGTTGGGTACACTCTGGACCACCTCCCTGCAGAGAGGCACACAACCAAGGCCACTTCCACAAACATGCACATTCCAGACTACTCTTTTCTAACTTAATACTTGTGGGGACAGGTAGTCTGATAAAAGAAGAGTAAATCTGAGTCATCTGTAGGAAAATGAACACATCTTGAAAGCCTAATATTAAGTGAAATAATTCAGATAAACAAGCTTAAACACTGAATGGTTTTCCCCATATGGTAATTCAAAGTATAAATAAAGAGCAAAAAAAGAGGCAAGAGGAAACAGGAAGATAGATCTTTTGCAAATAGAAAGAAGATGAAGGGATGGAGTAAAAGGGGAAGGGCAGGAGGAGGAGGGTATATAAAAGAGATCTAGGATGTGCGATGCACATGTATCAAACCCACACAAGGAAAGCAAGCATATATATTACAAAACTGTACTAATAGGTTAAAAAATATAAACAGGATAGGTCTGACATATATTTCCTCACCTTGATGCTATGACTATAATTATGTATCTAGCTATCCACAAAGATTATTTTATCATCTAATCAATTTATTAATAGAAGCTCAGTTATAGGTGACAGATTCAATGGGTTTGTTTTTCCACCCATTCTCAGTCCAAACTATTCTCAGTTTCGTTCTTCAGATTGATGGTGTATAGCTGCACAAGCTAAAAGTATACCATCAGGGATGAAACTTCATTAAGGTTTGTTAATCTGCCATGGAAATGCATGTTTATAAAAATTTGATGATATAACTATAAGTTGAAAGACTGATTACTGTGAGTATGATAAATTTAGCATATATAAAGTTATCCTTTCCTTTTTTTGGTCGTGCAATTTCCTAGAAAGTCTTTCTTTTCCCCTCCCATAGGCCATTACAGGAAACAAAAATGCCACTCCTGTGATTTAGCACTATATTTGAACTTACATTATATTTATATTTATATTCATATTCATTCCCATTAATATGTTGGAAGTAATTTGGGTTTTGAACAAGAGTATTATTCCCTCTAGATGCCTCACTCTAATGTTTCCTTTGGGAAAGTGGGTCTGGTATAAATGATATACTCAATCCTAACATGGGTCCTAAATATAAGCATGAGTTTACTTTTATTGGCTGCTCCCATTGGTTGACTTGATCATCCTGTGTTCTTCTTGCTTAATAGTTTTCTTGGTAATATAATCTGTCTTATTCATAGTAATATGTTCTTGATATTGAAATAGTAAATATAACAAAACTTTAATTTTGTTCAGGTTTAAGGACCATGTATGATATTTTTGCTTAGTTGGCTTGTGTTATTTTCTTTATATAGCAAAACCTTGAAGTAACTATTTACTGATAAGAAAGACTGTATAATGCTTTTAGCACTGACTATACACAAATGAATAAATTATAAATAATACAAAAGTTTGATTTCTGGACAATTTCCGTAGAAAATGTTAGATGCACGTCCTTATGCTGGTTTTTATTATGCTGGTTTTCATTGAGTGCTTATAATTCCACATTTATACTAAATAGTCACAAAAATCATGTACAGGGATTACATTTGGTAGGACCGTCTCTGAATCCCTAGTAAATGAACTACTGCTCCCTTAGAGTAATGAGAAGTGCTGTAAAACTTTTTCTTATAAACATTATTGACTAAATGTCATTTTTATTTTTCTAATTAAATTAGAAAACACATAATATGGTATTCTGTAATAGGAGTAATTTGTTGATATAAGTTCCCTCACCATGTGAACAGATTCTTCATTTTACAGATAAAAACAATAAATACTATGGGACAAATATGAGCAATCAAGTGCAAAAGTTAGGAGAAATATGATACACTATTTGATCAATTATTAATATTGGATTGTTGATTATCCAAATTGGGAAAAAACCACATTAACCTTATTTTAATGTTATTACATATAATGTCTGATATAAAAAATCATGTTTATTAGAATCAGTAAAAAGAAAAATGATAATTACTATGCAAATTAATATTTAAGACAAGATATAATTTGTAATATTTACATATATTTGCTATTGTGTTTTCTAACTAATAAAATGCAGAGTTGCAGACAAAATGTTAATAGCTGTTTCATGAACATTTAAAAACCTAAGAACTGACATTACAGCTGCTATTTATTTGAATCAATTTCACTGATTGAATATCCTGCATTAACTGCATGACATAGAAGCATTTTGAAATTAGTGTAATTTGCTTTCCTATATTTCATGATTTGAAGAAATTCCCAATAAAAGATTATTTTCTCCACAGTTTGGCACAAAGCAAGTGCTGCTGTAGGAAATAAATATAACATATGCCCCAGACTGTGGCAATTCTCATTTACATCTTAAAAGAAAAAAATGTTAGCAGAAAGTAATGTCATATCCTCTGTGTTAATAAATCATTGTGTGTCATTTGTATTAACTTTTAATTTAAAAAAGACAGCACTGAAAGTTTTCTCCAAGCAGAATTTACTAGAAGTTGTGGATAGAGAGTACATTTTCATTTTCTAACTTTTATGTATGAATTTACTATGACATATATGTGATATTAAGGGGAAAATTGTTTTAAAGTGATAGAAAAATTCTTCAGGGTACATGTCCACAGACTTTCAGTCAGCTTATTAAACACTGTGGTTGTGTGGACTGCTACTGTACATGCTAATGTTTTCACTTAGTAATATGATTTTGAGGTTCCAAATGATTCCAGTGCTGTGTCTTTGCAGGAGAAATACTCTGAAAAGATAAGCATCATGTTCACAACCCTTCAGCCAGTACTTTCTTAGGTTTTCCCATTCATCTAATTCCCAGGTTTTTAAACCATTTTTATAAAAACACACCAAATCTATACTAAAATTTTGTAAAATATACAAATAAATGATACAAGTGTTTTCACCTTCAAATATTTTTAAAATTGGAGAGTATATAAAACTTCAGTCATTGAGATGATAAGAAATAATGAAGCAAGGTCACATGTTGTATTTTACTGAATTATATAATCCCAGAAAATGTGGAAGATTCAAAGTGATGACAAAGGAAAGGAACTGTCAGGAGTCTATAGAGTATTCACAGGGCTTCCTCCTGATGAAGATGCAAGGATAAATATGTCAAGAAGTATCATGAGTACAGTACTTCAAAAAACTGAAATCCCTTACTAAATTAAAACTGACATAGTTCATCACTAACCACACAACTGTTTTCTAAGAATTTCTCAGCGCTAAGCTCTCTGGTTGCCACCTTCACCTGTGTTTGTTGATTTCTTCCATCCAGAGAGACCTGTGGAGAGGAAATGGACATCTATAATGTCACCAGTGTGACTCAGTTCATCCTCATTGGGCTCTCTGACCTCCCCAAGGTGCGCTACCCTCTCTTTGTGGCCTTTGCCATCATCTACCAGGTCACCTTGGTGGGGAATGGGGCCATCCTCTTGGCCATTGGGACTGAGGCAAAGCTGCACACTCCCATGTACTTCTTCCTTGCAAACTTGTCCCTCTTAGACATATTCTGCCCAACAACAACTGTCCCCAATATTCTGCACAACCTCTTGACTAAGAACCACAGCATTTCCTTTGTTGGGTGTGCTCTGCAGCTGTATTTCCTGGTTGCACTTGTTGGGACTGAAGTCTTCCTGCTGGCTGTCATGGCTTATGACCGGTATGTAGCCATCTGCTTCCCCCTTCGCTACTCTGTCATCATAACCAAGGCTCACTGTGCTCAGCTGGTCTCTGGGATCTGGGCAGCTGGATTCCTCAATTCCACCATCCACACAATATCCACCTTCAGCCTGTCCTTCTGCAGGTCCAATCTGGTGAACCAGTATTACTGTGATATCCCACAAATTGTGGCCCTGTCTTGCTCATCCACTTATGCGGCTGAAATGCTTATTTTTGTGGTAGGGGGTATCAGTGCATTCATTTCCTTCCTGACCACCTTGATCTCCTATGTGTACATCATCTCCACCATCCTGAAGATCCAGTCTGCAGAAGGGAAGCACAAAGCCTTCTCCACATGTGCCTCCCACCTCCTGGTGGTCTGTCTGTTCTATAGCACAGCCATCTTCACCTACATCCGGCCCTCCTCCAGCCAACACTCCCCTGCCAGGGACAGACTCATCTCCATGCTCTATGGGGTCATCACCCCAATGCTTAACCCTGTCATCTACAGCCTGAGGAACATGGAGGTGAAAAAGGTCCTCAGGAGGGCTGTATATGGTAGAATGTGCTCACAGTAAGTACAATATTAGAACAAAATTGCTTAGTACTCTGTTTAGAATAAATTCTTAGGAATGAAAAACCTTTCTCTTGACACATAATATGTACCTGGTCATTTTAGAAATGTGCAGACAAATGTAGATATTATGTTTGACTTAAGTATGTGTCTCTAACTCCATCCTCTGGAACCTTGAATTTTGTTATCCAAAATAATTATCTCTGTGATTCATCAAATGTAATAGCCTGTCTTAATCAAGCTTGTGTTTTAGTATCTTACCAATATCCATGACTATATCATACCTATTCCTATACGTACATAGAAAAGTACATATATATTTGTGTGTTCTATATTTATTCACTTTTACAACTATTTCTCAATGTACCTTTAGCCATCTATCTATAAATTATTTTATACTTTATTTTTATTTTAAGTGTAACTTGACAAATTATAGTTGTAAATATTTGTGGATACAATATGATGTCATAGTTTAAAACTATAATATGTGAACATTAAATTGTTATGATTAACATACCCCTCCTCCACCACCTACTACTTTGTGTATGAAGTGTGAACAATTGAGGTTTATTGATTTTTACAAGTTTGAAATGTAAATTACTTTATGTAATACATTCATTGTGCTATGCAATACATCTTGCAGGAAGGGAAAGGAACATATGATCCAGTTGAAGCTTTGGACTTTGATCATCATCTCCCCATTGCCTCCACCCACCCAGCTCTGGTACCAGCAGTCAACTCTGTCTCTAAGATCAATTCTTTTATGATCCTGATACAAATGAGAAAAGGCAGCCACTTATCTTTCTGTGTTTGGTTTATTTCTGTTAGCATAATGGTTCTCAAATCCACACATGTTGTTAGAAATGACAAAATTTCATTTTCAGTGCTAAATATATTCAATTCTGAACTCATAGCAAATTACTTCACCCATTCATTTGTTAACATGTAGTTTGATTCCATTACTTTACTTTTGTGTACAGTGCACAAATGAGTATGGGGGAGCAGACATTTTTAACATATTGATTTCAGATACTTTAATTAATACCTAGAAGTGGGATTCAGGATCATATGATGTTTCAATTTTTAAATGTGGAAGAAACTCCATACATATTTGCATATACATATTTGCATAAAGGCTATGCTAGCTTACATTCTCACCAATAATGTACAAATATTGCTTTTTCTTTATTTTCCTTGACCAGAGTTACTTTTATATTTTTATTTATTTATGCATACTTATTTCTAGTTGACAAATAATTGTTGAATATTTATATTCTCCTTTAAATAACTGCCAATATAGAAAGTGAGGAGATTCCTCATTGTGGTTTTAATTTCACTTCCCTAATGATTAGTCATGTTGAATATATTTCAAATCTGTTTGATAGAACTATGGGTTCTTTAGAACATTTTAGATGTATGTATGTAAAATAGATTTTTTGTAATATATAGATTGTCTCTTGACACTTTGATAGGAATTGTTTAGAATCTGTAATTTGTTCTGGTATCATGAATAATTTATCTATTTTAATTTTTCCTAAACATGAACACAGGATACCTTCCCATTCATTTGTGTGTTTTTCAGCTTTGTTCATTAGCTTTTTGTAATTTTCTATATACAAATATTTTTGTTTCATGATGAAGCACATTTCTTTTTATTTATTGTTTTGTAGTTACTATGCATGGGATTGCTTTCTTATTTGCTTTACAAATTTTTGGTTGCTAAAATGCATATCTTGTATCTTTTGTAATTACAATAAAATGAAATCGGAAGTGCACAGCAAAAGCAATGTTAGAAATTACATAAATAGATATAGACTGATCAACATACTTTTGAATAAACAGTGGGCCATTGAAGAATTCATAGAAAAATTGCAAAATTTTTGGAGTAAATGAAAATAGAAACACAACATACTAAATCCTGTGAGGTAAAGCAAAAGCAGTACTAAGAAAGAAAATTATAGCAATGGTTGTCTACAGTAAAAAATTGAAATGTTTAAAATAAACAACCTAATGATGCATTTCAAGGTATTGGAAAAACAAAAACAAACTATACCCAAGTTGATGGGAAAGTAAATAAAAAACAATAAAACCATAGGAAAAATAATTGAAATAGAGAATAAAATAAAAATACAAAGAATCTATAAAAGATTGGCTTCTTTGAAAAGTTGAAATTGGTGAAACTTTAGAGGTGAAAGAGAAAGAGAGAAGAGAGAGAGAACCTAAACAAGTAAAAGTAGAAGTGCAAAAGTAAATATAACTGATAACAGAGAAATCAAATGGTAATTAGTAATAATGAGAAAACCATTACTTTATCAAACCATAAAGTAGAAAATAAATTGATAAATTTCTGCAAATATATCACTTAACAAAATTAATCCAGGAGGATATGGAAAATCTAAATAGACAAATAAGAATTAATGAGATTGAATCAATATCTCCAAATAGTGATTTACTTCTGTATTTTACCAAATAGTTATAAAATTAACCCCAATGTTTCATACACTGTTCTATAGAATGAAAATGTAGGGAACACTTCCAAACTCATTTTATAAAAATGAGCAGCATTACCCTGCTGCCAAATGCGACAAGGGAACAACAAAAATAATTCTATATAGACCAACAGCTCTGATGACCATAGATGAAAAATCTTCAATAAATTACTTACAAATCCAGGTCACCAAGACATTAAAAAGATCATGCAACATGATCAAACAGTTTAATTCCAGGGATGCAGGGATGGCTCACTATAAGAAAAGCAATAAATTCTATCATATGCTTTAAATATACCTAAATATATTACTTTATAGATTTTACAAAGATAAGAATACTTGAAATTATACTTAGCATATGCTGTAAATATTTTAATTTAATTAGAAACAACCTATATATTTCACTTTTATCACATAATTTATGACTATCTATCTCAGTCTTATCCACCCAAATTATTTCTAATATTTATTCCCAAAATCTGAGACACCAGCTTAATACAAATCAATGTCTGAATGCAATTGTTTTGCAAAAAGAAAAAATCTAAAAATTACTGTATTTAAGCTATGGAAAGCAATGTATATTGAATCTCACACACCTAAAAATACAATCTTGATTGACTACCAACCCAAGCAAACATATGGTGAGAGTTTGGATGATATGTTTATTTTACTTTATGAAGAAATGTAAATTAAATTATTTGTTGAGGATTTGCCTTGCTATTATGCAGGTAGTTAGCCATTAGCAGGCCTGAGGCATGATGAGAATGCATAACAGTGGTCCTATCCAATACAATACTCAGGTCAGAATAAACCACAGACTCATCCAACATGAAAGGAGGGGCAAGCCACAACAGCTCATCAACATTCACCACAAGGAGGCTGCATGGCTGTGAGGCAGGTGATTGGGGCTGTGCCAAGTCATCAAAAAAAACTGGGTGGAATGTGTCAAAGAATTAACAAAACAGAAAATGTGCAGAACACAAGTGTTGGGAGCAATGCTACATAATTCTAGGGATAAATCATTTGGTTAGCCTACTTCTCTTGCCTACAGCCCAGCTACAGAATAACTCCAGTTTGGCCTCCAGTCACAACTGAGACTTCAGTGATCCAGTGATGCTGTGATTCTCCAGGACAAGAAACATCCTGGGAGAACAAACATCTGCTCAGTTCCTCACTGTTCTAGGACTGATTAACATCTTGTTTGCCGGAGATGTACTGAACTCTCTGCAAGCCTTCCGTTACACCTTGTTTATCCCAATGTGAACTATTGAACTCTCTGCAAGTCATTTGTTACATTTGTTTCTCCCGATGTACTGAATAAAAGGTGTGGTAAGCTGGGGGCTTTGTCTTTGCTGCCCAGAGCAGCACTGATCAGACCTGAAGCTCAGCTTCTTCTCAGTCTCATTTTTCTACCTTTCCTGTAATTCGCCGTGTGCTGCCGTGGCTCACAGGAGACCAGGACTCACTGCAGAGGTTCTGGTAACGTCCCCTTCCCCTGTCCCCTACACACAAGATCCAAATGATTCTATTGCTCCCAAGCACTGTACACAAAGCTAGTCCAAAAGATGCTACTTTCAGCCCTTCATTTACACCTGGCAGGAAGCCTACTGAGCCTTTCCACAGGGCAATTTAAAGTTGGTGCCAGGCCAAGTGAGCTTTGGATAAAACATCTGTCCTTATCTGCAAAGGAGAAAGCAGTCCAGTAATTTCACACACCAAAGACCCCTTTCTTTTATCCTAGGGGCTGCTGTGAGTCCAGCACCAGCCTGCTATCACACTTCTCTGCCTCCAGTAAATGTGCAACTTTGCTCCTTTTCTGTGTGTCTTGTCTGATTTGTGCTCAGGACACCAAGGACCTGGAAAGGATCCTTCAGGGGCCAGCATACAGTAACATTACCTGGGACAGAGAGGCCTGTACTGGAACCCAGCACAGATTTGGGCCCTCCCTGGGTGAAGGTGGAGATTTCAAGTAGCAAAAAAAAATTTATAATTTAACCATGCATAACTACAAACTGAATTCACACACAGGGGAGGGGATGAGTTAAAAAAGGCAAAAAAAAAAAAAAAGCAGCTGTGGATATTACACCAACCATATTTACTCCAAACAATCTCACACACCGTTGCATTAATTCAGAATGCACTTTCAGTTATATGGCTCAAATTGAACCATAATAAAAACCATATTATTCTAACTTAAAGAAGTACAAATTTCTTTAAAGTACACTGAAATGCTTCAGATTCCCAAGCAAAGCACAACAAAGCTCTCTAACAAACAGTTCAAGAAACTTGGATTGCAAACTGGCTCATGAAAGGTCCTAAGTTTGTCTCAAGAGCTCCAAGTTGGTTCACAAGAAGCCCTGAACATAAGGAGAAGTACAAGAATAAGGCAGTGAGCATGCACCAGAGCTCTCCAAACCTTGGGACCACAGGTTCCTAAAATGTCTTTCAATTTTACTAAAACTGCCACAGTGCAGTTGACTCTGGCTTGAAGTTTTATTCCTTTCCTCCAGGACAG